AGTTTCAATTAATTGCAACTTGGTGCTCTTTTGGTATGTTGGTTTGAGTTTTGTGGTTATGACATTGTCTTGAGTCACCAAGTTTGGGCGTTGATTAGACTTGCGACTTGTTGCATGATGGGTGCACTTTTGTAATATTGGTTCGAGTACTTTTTGATAAAACAAAAAAAAAAAAAAAACCAAATTTGCATAACAAGATTTACTGCCATGTACTCCCATAATAATATAATTTTTGATAAAAAAAAAACAAATTTACATAACAATATTTACTGCCATGTTAAAATTTTATTGATAAAAAAATTTTGGTTGATAAGTTTTGCATGTGGGTTGGAGTATTTTCATGCACTTAGAAAATGAGTGAATTCTATTCAATTTCTTGATATTTGGAAGTTACATTGAATTTGATTAATTTTGAGTTAAGTTGCATTAGATCCCATAAAGAAAAAACTTTCATAATACTTCTATTCACAAAACTTGAATTCGAGACCTTATTTAAAAAAAAACTAAATTTCTTTTCACTCAACCAATAGGCTGTTGGTTCTATTCCTACCTTATTAGTTGATGAAATTTCATATATAATTGTTTCTTAAAAAATCCTCAAATGGCTTCGCATGGGGCAAATTTGGATGTGAGCATGCCATTTGTTTTGCTATAAAGTAAAAAAGAAGGATTTTCCAACAACCTTCTTCTTCCTCGCAATCAACCTTCTTAAGGATGGTTAGAAGAATGTTGGTTTAGAATTGAAATCTACACCTTCATATGATTTTCAAGAGGAAAGGATACTTTTCTGTAGAATAGATTGCTAAATTTGCCTTGGATAGCTTTAAGAACTTAAATACTACTGTGAATTAAACTTAACAGATCCTAAATGAACTAAATGTCATGCAAAATTAAAGTAAACTTGCAAATAAAAGATGCATCCAAATTAAACTAAGGGTCCGTTTGGTGTAGTTGGAACTTTTGATAGAAGTATTTTTTAAAGGAATATGTTATAAAAGTCCTTTCTTTGGGAAGTAAAATGTGTTTGGTAAAATTTTTTATCGATGAACTTTTAAAATGTAAAGTTGTTTGGTAAATTTTTTTATAAAAGATCTTTTGATTTTAAAATGACTAAAAAGGACATTTTGTTTAAAAAAACATTGTTTCTCTTCTTCTTTTTTTTACATTTTTATAGAGTTTAATTTTTTTTAATTTAATTATGTTAAAGTTGATTATTACAAATGAAATTTTTATATTTATAAA